TCACCCAAAGAAAATCAAAACAAATTCAAAAAGATATATGCACCCCTATGTTTATTGCACTATTATTTACAATAGCCAAGATATGGAAGCAGCCTACATGCCCATCAATAGATGAATGGACAAAGAAGATGTGGTACACACACACACACACACACACACATACACACGAGGAATACTACTAAGCCATAAAAAAGAATGAGAACTTGTCATTTGCAACAACATGGATGGACCTAGAGGGTATTATCCTAAGTGAAATAAGTCAGACAGACAAATATTACATGGTTTCACTCATATGTGTAATCTAAAAAACAAAACAAATGAAGAAACAAAGCAGAAACAGACCCATAAATACAGAGGACAAACTGGTGGTTGCCAGAGGGAAGGGGGCTGGAAAGATGGGCAAAATGGGTGAAGGGGAATGGGAGGTGCAGGCTCGCAGTTATGGAATGAGTAAGTCATGGAGGGGAAAGGCACAGCATAGTCAATATAGTCAATGGTATTGTAACAGAATTGTATGGTGACAGATCCATTGTGGTGGTAGCTACATTATGGTGAGCATAGCATACATATAGACTTGTTAAATTACTATGTTTGCACCTAAAACCAACACAACATGTGTCAATTATACTTCAGTTTAAAAAAAAAAAAAGAAAAAAGAAATAAGTGTGGCTGAGAAAAATTACATCATTTGCCTAAGATAGCACATGCAGTTAGAAGTCATTAAGCCAGAAAACACACTCTAATTCTTTCCAGCTCACTGTCTACCACATGCCAACAATATTAGAAAAAGGTTAACTCTCAGATTCTGAAGCAGATGAGGAAACTCCTATTGGTAGAAATGGAATCAGGGTGTGCTTACTCTCTCAGGCCACATTAAGAGAGTATCTAATTTTTTTTCATTAATATATATTTTATAGAAGAGTTTCTTTTTTTCTTTTCTTTTTAAGATTTTTATTTATTTATTCATGAGAGAGAGAGAGAGAGAGAGGCAGAGGCAGAGGGAGAAGCAGGCTCCCCACGGAGCGGGGTGCCCGATGCGGACTTGATCCCAGGACCCTGGGATCATGACCTGAGCTGAAGGCAGACGCTTAACTGACTGAGCCACCCAGGTGTCCCAATAGAAGAGTTTCTAAAGAAAGAAGATGTTCAAGAAGGATGCATGTGAGGACATCTGGAAAACATGGATTATATCTCATTACTGACATATTCAGAGTGAAACAGACTCCTCTCACTCTCACCTGAAGTTCATAATTAGAGAATCAGGCTAAAAATTAAGATGTAAAGTCTCTCTGCTATCAGGAATTTTTGAATAGAGACTAACGTAAATCCCTTTTAGACTAGTCTATGCTCGTGTTGTCTTTGGAAGAGTCAGAGAACTACTGCTTACCATTTTATGTAGGAAAACCATTGAATTACTAGAAGATATTATTCCAGTCTATTCCGTTAAGGGAAATAATCCTAACTGTTCTAGCCTCCCTAATTTATATCATTCTTCCAGTATTTTTTCTACCTTTATATCTCTTTTCTCAGCATCCTTTATTTTGTCCACAATCCTAAGATGAGGGACCCAAAGCTTGTTGAGAAAATATTTATTTCTGTGTTTGTGTTTTTGTTTTCTCCTCTCATGTCAGATTTACAAGAATTTAAATTTCTAAAAAACTAAGAACTATAGAGGAAGCAAAGTAGAAACCATTGACCTTGACCACAAGGAATTGATCACTGGGTACTCCTAGTAATCCAAGAACAATATTAGTGTGCAGTTCAAATGCCAGATCACGGGAAACAGAAGTGCTTTGGAAATTTAGAAAAGCAATACGGTGTCATGGGCTATTAAGGAAGGATTCATGGACACTGATGAATACCGAGTGAACCTCAAGAGTGTCTAGGATTTGGAGGGGAAGAATAAGAAAGAGTGTGGAAGAAAGTTGCCGTGGGAGCAGGCTGGAGTATAAAAATATCTAAACAGGGAGTTTATATGGAAAATACGTCTAAGATACTTTCCTTTAAAAAGGATCACCCCCAAAGCCTTATACTTATGTTGATAGTTATCATGTCCGTTATGGACATCATCTAGATGGATGAAGGACAACATCTCTCCTCTCCAAAGATGAACCTTTCATCAATCAATCTACTTGGCTTTTATAATTAATGAAAATCATGTTGAATTTTAATTCTGTGTTCTTAATTAGTTCTTAATTAATTAGTCTACTGAGTACACACAGAACATGAAAAAAATTGGGGACCAGCCACCAGGCTACAGAAATTTGATAGGCCTAGGACACGATGGGGGCTCAATAAACATTTATTGAATCAAAGGAGGAAAGGAAAGAAAAAGAGAAAGAAGAAAGGTCTGGTGTTTTCTTTTGGGAACATTATTTCTCATTAATTTTTGAAAAGTTAGGTGAGCAGTTGTGTAAATCATAACTTAATTAGTATTTAGCATTCCAACTTTAGGTTTAAGTTACTACAACATGACAGTTTTCAGGAACACAGGGTATACAGCTGGCCTATTTTTATTTTCTTTTTCTGTTTAACTATGGTTCTTCACCTTTTTCTAAAGTTCCTGAAATTTTCAATAGGTAACAAGAGATACAACATAAGCAGTTCCATTGTTTCTTCCAGAAATAGCCCACATTTAAAGTATCAAAAGATAGCTCAATGGTAATAGGGGAAGACAACAATAATTTGGTTCCATCTTATAGTATTCTAAAAGAAATTAAAAAGAATTCCAAGAAACATTAGCTGCAGTCTAAATGAACCACTGACTTTTTACAAACGTTCCTGATCTACAGAGGTACAGAGGGGAGTGGAATAAAGAATGTGAGAAGAAATAAGTAGTTATTTACAATAACAAACTCCTTTCCCCAGGGGTAAATTTTTCTGGAGCAGGAATGTACTGAAATCCTTTGCATAAGCAAGAGCTGAGTAAGACAAACATTTCAGACACTGCCATAGATTTGGAAGACCATCTCAGCATTCCAGACTCCCCGGTGTTGTTTGCACATTGTGGGAAAAGGGCCACCAGCCTTGAAAACAAAGTGGCCTGTTCTCAGGGTAACTTCTTCTGCCCTTAAGAGCAGGATAGACTTGGCTAAGTTCTTTAGTCCCTCTGAATCCGATTCTTGAAGTGCAAAACAGGGATAATTGTACCTTCCTTTTAGGATGGCCGTATGGATAAAAAAAAGAGTATCTGCAAAAACCTCACAGAGTGCCTGATCAGTAACAGGAACTCAATAAATTGTAACTTGTATTAATTCTCAAGAAACCATAATGGGGCTCAAATTCTCCACTCCACTCCATTAGTTGGTGATCAGATTTGACCTCACCTTAGCAAGAGGGGAAAGGCCTCCTTACCTTTGTGAAGACAATCAAATCAGCCTGCTAATTCCAAAGAGAACCATTCTTGTGACTATCTACATGGAAGGAATAAAGCTCAGGCAAATTCTCAACTATCCAATGCAACAAAAGCACACAATCCCTGGGAGCAGCGAGTACCAGTTTCTTTGTTCTACTTGTGTTTTTGGTTTCAGCTCCTCCTCTGTGCCCCCCTTCACTCCAGTTCACCCACAGTCTGTCAATCTTCTCCTCACAGCTACCACCCCGCAAACTAACTCAGGTTTTCTCAATTTTTAAGAAGACTCCTATTGAAAACATGAAGGCTCAGGAAAAATCTAGAATTCAAACAAATTCTTCCATACAATTTAAAAGGGCAAATTCCCTTCCCATAGACCTTGATCATGATTAAAATTACAGATACGGAGGGAGTCTCAGATCTGTCCAGATGATGCACAGCACCATAAATGCAAATGCTGTTTTAAGATATTTCAAAATATGGGTATAATATACACACACCATTGAAGAGAATCTAGGTCCTTGTATTAGAATAAAGGAAAGCTCCTTCTATTTTTAGTTATGAAAGATTATTATAAAACTTAAAACCTAAAATATGCTTTAAAAAATCTATGATATCTCAAGAATAAGCTTTTTAAAAATCTTAAATCCATGCAGGAGGCTATTGGTGAAATTTACTTTACAGGCTTGGGGAAATGGAGTGGGGTGGATCTAGAGAGAGATGCTTTTCTTTTTAACCTATACAATGTTTTGTAGCCACAGAAATGGTTCTGGAAACAGTAATATTAAAACTACTGAAAAGGTGGACTTCCTATTGATATAACATAAATACAGAAAAATCTGCAAATAGATCCTTTAAAGTGCTTTTGATTATGGATATAATGAGGGAACAACTTCAGGTCACAGATGCTTACTATCATCAATAACCCTTTCCCGTGGCCAGTCTAGGGCAAATTTGTGAAGTAGTATAAGTTTGTCTCTTTAAGATTATTCTACTTTGTAGTCCTGTGACTTCCTGAGGCCTACTCCTATTCCATAATTTCACTCCTGCCCAGGACTTGTCTTAAAAATATCAACCTAATAAATCACTGATCAGGGAAAATTAGTTTAGTCTAACCTCATATAAGAGTCTGCATTAAGAAAAAAAATGATTAGTAGGAAGCACCCAACCCTCAAAGAATAAAGCTCTACTGGTAAAATTTCAGATACCATGGTATTTGGGTCGGAAATTATTTGGGTCAGAGAAGATTTCCTAGCAGAGAACCAAAACTAGAAGCATTATCAGTAGTAATAATTGCCTTGTACTCTAGCTCTCAAATTTTGGTCATGAGATCACCATTTAGATACCTGTTTAAAAAAATAAGCAAAAACAAAAACAGATTTGTATGTCCTATGCCAGAATCATTAAAGCAGAATTTCTGGGAGTGAGGAACTTATAATTTAGAAAAAGAAGACAAATAGGTAAACAAACGCAAATTAATATTATTACTCCAAGTCTGGAAATCATCAGATTATACTTTATAGACAAAAGCTTAGAGTTTCCATGTATTAATTGGCCTATCGGTATTGCTGTGGCATGTTTGAATAGCACCTTGATTTTAAATCAGCAGCAGTACCTAAAGAACACCGACTTCATTTTTTGGTCTTACCAGGCACTCCAGCTTGGATCCAGAAGTTAATGTCTGTCCCTTCTCCAGCCCTAAAGACCTGTGTGATATTGACCGGCTGCAGCAGGCTCATGACCTCCTCCATGATGGCCCTGGCCTTTTCACTGCCAGTGAATTGCAGCCCAGAGGGTAAGAAGGTTCCCTGATCAGACTCCATCACCAGGCTGTAGTTGGAAATATTTGCCTAAACAAAAGAGAAAAGTGTTTGGTTCGTTATCTGTTGCTTCTTTGCCTTCTCCTTGGGAACTATCAAACAACAATAATCAAATGCTTTATCTCCTCGACAGTTCTTGCCAAAACACAGGCCACTCTGCCTGACCTAGGGTCTGGTCTGCATATTATCTAAGCATTCTGGGATGCACAATTACTCATTCTGGGATTTGCCAAACTCAAGTTGACTTGGAAGGATTTAAAAAATATAATCAAAGGAAATATAAAGCCTCATGTTGGAGTTACTCAACTATTTTCTACTAGCAATCATAGCCTTTCAACCAGTTTTCTCAAATGCCTAGTGTGCACCGGGATACGATGCCTCCTACGTGGTAGGTATCTCCAGATAGTGTTAGTCAAGCTCAGACAAAAGAAGGTATGCCCCGAGGACCTATTTATCTGTACCTCTTTCCTCTAAATAGGTATTTGATCTTATTTTAATCGTGAGTTCTGCTGAAGCTTCTAGGCATCAAACGGACAGGTTTGCCTTGGGTTTCTGATGTTGCTCCATCTGTTGAATCTCCAGGGAGGGAGGTAATAGGACAACACATGAAACACTGCTCTGTCTGGTGTACCGCCATAGCGCTTAAAACCCTGGCAATTCTGTCAGGCCACTAGTTTGTAAACTCTTTCCAAATAAAGTCTGCTAAGAAAGCATGCAGTGATTTCACATAGCCTACATTGTCACTGCAAGAGCTTAGGATATAAGAGGCTGTCGGCCAGGCTGTTCAATTAAATTGCCACATAGCCCTAGACTCACAAGTTTAAAGCCCTTACCATTGGCCTAACTATCTGTTTCCCAGGAGCCATTCACTTCTCCAAGACTGATCAATTACCAACTACCAACTACCTGGTTGAGTTATTCCCATGTTATCGTTGGACGGCACTGCTAGTCATTCCTTATTACTCACCTAGTAAAAGTCAATAATAACATTTGTACAGAGCTTCCAGAGAGGTTTCACATTTGCAATCTCCTTTTACCTGCTTCTATAACCCATAAAGTAGACAAAGCAGCTTTATGGTTATTGCTGTTTTACAGAAAAGGAACTGAGGATTAGAGAGGTCAAGTGATTTGCTTAAAGTCACACAGCTGGCAAATGGTAGAGCTGAATCTGGAATCCTCTGCTTGCCAGGACTCCACGCTGCCATCGCTAGCATGGGACGGAGTGATAAGTAAGGCTTGTTATGAATTCAAATGATTTTTCACTTATGTAACAATCTGAGGGGTGCGGGCTTTTTTGTTTTGTTTTTTTTCTGGAACAGATTCCTTTTTACAGTGATTTCCTAACTTGCCATGGAACTGTACTGTTGTTACAAGGACAAGAACAGTGCTGGATTCTAAAGGAGGATGTTGCCGGCATTTATCGGACCCATGGGGGGGCCCTGGGATACCAACACGTTGCTGCTATCGTTGGTAATGACTGAGAAAGTTAACAAAGCAGAAGTCTTCTCATATTTCCACTCTCACTTCCAAGGGATTTCTGTCTTCCTGGTGATTTTCAGAGAAAGACCCGAGGCATTTATAATAAAAAGTGTCATCCCAGCTTTCAGCTGTGGCTACCGCACAACAGCAGCATCATTCGAGTGAATGATATGCAAAATATTTGCATTGGTGTCTCACACATTTAGGGCTCATGTAACTAGCACACGGATGGCAGGTCAGGAAGTTGACATGTCATTTGGCAGTCCTAACCTTCTCCCTTTATATGCCCTGCTGCTCCCCACCCCAAACTCGATCTCCTATAAAAAGGAGGATAGAAACATCACAATAATCTGCAAATGAAAACAAAATTGGATGATCTTATATGGGAAGGTTCCCATACTGCAGGCAGATCCCATTTTTCCAACAAGAAAATTGGACAAAGCACTCCTAAGTCTTGCACTACTTAGATTAAAGTGGGGCTAGGTAGCAGTTTGGCTGTCAGACTCAACACTATTGAGCAGCCTGGGGAGGTGGATATAGCCCTGGACCCACTCTTCTATTCTATTCTATTCTATTCTATTCTATTCTATTCTATTCTATTCTATTCTATTCTATTCTATTCTATTCTATTCTATTCTATTCTATGCTGGGCTACCGAGGGGGATGACTTTCTCCTTCTGTCCCCAAGTCATGTCATCATGGCTTCTGGCTTCTCCATCTTGTAGAGTAGGACAAATTCTCTTTTCTAAAGCTTGAATAATGAGCCTGGGCACCTGGAGCTTTGAGCACCTTCAAAGGAAAGACCTCTGTGGGCCAAAGTGAAAGTGGTTGCATGAGTTGAACTTGCCAGGGCCCCTCACAAAATGTGCATTAAGGACTTCTTGGCCCTCTTAAATTGCAAATGAGCAGATGTCCTTGGGACAGGGCGCTCCATAGTTTGTGAATGCTTCTGTACAATGTCCCAGGATGTTGCTAGGAACATAGAGAATGATATATATAAAGAAGTTTTAAAGGTATGTGTGGCAGCCAGTTTAGCAGAGAGATAAAGAGTATGGGCTTTACAATTATTCAGACTGGGTTTGATCCTCGGATTAATCAATCGTTGGCTGTGTGTCTTCATGCAGTCTATGTAACCTCTCAGTTTCTTCTTCTACGAAATGGGTATGATAATGGCAGCAGTTCATGGAGTTGTAAGAAAGAGTTCATTGTAAAGGCTGGGGCATAATTAGCACTTAATAAGGTTGTCCTTACTGGTTTTATGAAGCATCTGGACCTCTCAAACTTCTAAGGATGGCCTCCACGTAAACCATTCAGTTAGCTGCTTACAGTGATGATAGGAGGCATTTCTGCAGGGCTGCCTATGGGCCAGACATTGCGTGAAAGGCTTTTCAGCTATCCCTTGTAATGCTCACAATCATTCTATGAGACAAGTGCGATTATAGTTCTCGTTTCACAGATGAAGCAATGGAGGTTTGGTAACATTGCATAACATTCCCGAAGTTACCCTGTTAGTATGTAGAGCAGCCAGAAGGCAAATGCAGAGAGGTCTGCCTCCCGAAGCCCGAGCTCTCGAGCCCTCCACTACCCTGTCTGCTGACACTTTCTCCCAACTGTCGGGCCATAAGTCCTCACTTTTAATTTTAAAATACAGGGACTGTAGTTAAATGTATAGCGTTTAAAATGATTTTTCATGATCATAACGCAAGGTCTACTTGGGCAGAATTTATCATCCTTGCTAATAAAGTAATTTGATTAGGCAAAGAGAGGAGTAAACAAAACAAAAGCAAAAAATAAAAGCAAAAAACAACTCTTGCCCCACAATTTCCTTCCAACTAGGAACACAAAAACTAAAATAATAAAACATCCTTTCAAGCTGAATTAGACAGGATGTGCAGATGTCAATAAACCAGAATTCTGGCGTAGGTAGAGATGTTTAATTTCTATTCATGTAGAATTTTATCAGCTGCTGCTAACATGATGGCAGCATTCTCTTGTTTTCTATTTATATATAAATATCTCCATATGTTTTCAATAAAGGACTAAGAAAACACACCACCCACCGTCCATGACACTCATTTATGGAGTCATTGTCTAATTGTTAGCTCATGGTGAAGGACTTGGGAAAACAAAATGCCTCTGCACAAAGAAACCGGAATGAGTAAGCCAGGTCACTGGGCTGTCAGAACTGCTGCCTCTCAGGAATGTGTCCTTACAAACATCCGTGTTCCTTACTATGCCATGAGTTGCTGGGGACGCACTCAGTGTAGATTTGAGAAGCTGATTGTAGCTAGTGACGCTCAACCATCTTAGCACAAGTAACACAATATTCGTCCTCCTGTTTTCTGGGTGTAGGAAGAAACCTGCTTCTAGAGACTGAATACTTTATTCCTGAGATAACCAGCACCAACTGAGAGAAGCTGTGGCATATAGATGAGGAGGCTGAGCCACTCAAAGATAAGCTCAGACAGTATCTGTAAGCCCCCACTTTGCTCTCGTAATAAAGAGAAAAATCTCTTTATTAGGAGCCATGGAAACTGTCTTCCATTGCCTGTAATGTATATAATGCAACGAAGAGAAATGTTCCCGGGTAACCTGGGTCAGCAACTTTGGATTAGGTAATATCTGCTCAGGGTTGAGGACTCAACTTTGTCTTGTGCTACAGTCACATCCTATCACACTTCTTTTCTGTGTTCTGGGAGGGTCAGGTTACTCTGCCAAAGAACAACTTGGTAACTATTAGCATTCTTTGGGTGCAATGCAAGATTAAAAAGAAGAAAAATGTTTAAAATACATATTGCATGCTTTAAAATGCTTACTCCCTAATATAAACACAAAGATGATGTTTGTGTTCTTTGATTTTGTAAAATTCCAGGCGATTCTTCTTCAGAAATACAGACTCAAGTTCAACAACATCTCTTCTCTCCCCAAATTTGGCTTCTTCTTTGTTTAAAGCTTTTATTTTCTCATAACCTAGGTGACATGTCTTCAGTTTTTACCTGAAGTGACACTGCAATCCCGAAATCAAATGAAGAAAAAAACCAGACTCCTAATTATTCAAATTCGTCATGTAGCCTCCTCAATTGAATCTTCAAAGAAGTAAACTCCATCCTGACAGAGGCTAGTACGTCTCAGTACCACTTTCCTGCCCCATAAAGTTAATATTTTACAGATGATGGTGGTGATGCTGTTTGGTCAGGTGGACGGCTCAGAACAAGTTCTCAGAAGCACACCATCTTATGATACTACGTGCTGAGTTGTTGCAGTTGTCTTTTCCAGCGGTGCCAGTGACCTTGGAATCCCCAGTTCACAGGGTGGAGCTGAAGCAGGGGTTTCTTCATAGAACTTCCGCTCAAAAAGCTGTCGTGATTGGACAGCAAGTAAAGAGATCTCTCCCTGCTGTGCAGAGCCAAAAACAGGTTTGACTTTCTGGTCAGATTTACCCTGAAGTTCAGCTTTTTATTTCTGATGGTTGCTGGTATTCAGTTTTGAACATCCTTGAGTACCCGAGAGAGAACCAGGAGAGGGATGATGACAAGGTGGAAGGCTCTAGG